GGGAAAGTAAAAGAAAGACAGAAAATGAGAAAACCAGGGTTGAACCTTGGGTGAATGAGAACACTTTTAGGCAATTAGAATTATAGGTGGTCTGGAAACCTAATATATGTATAGACGTCTAAACTTTTTAACTACATGAAAGACTCAATAGAAATCAAATGGAAGTTAGAAGCTGCATGTATACTTTGGATACACTGTCCTTTGTTGGATAGGCATAACCCTAAGGTAAAAATTCTTTGAAACAGATATTAGTTACATCAGCTTTTAATAAGGAGAATGCATTAAGGTAGTGTTTCACTGTATTAAGCCAGCATTTAATAAGGAGAATGTGTTAAGCTACTGTTTGTAATTTGTACAAACTTATATATGAATATGTGTCTGTTACTATGAAAAAATGAAACTTAGAGCCAGGATTATTAAATGGTTCAGAATTCCACTTACTATTTGCTACATGCTTTCTGGGAAGCTGCTGGTTGGTAGGAATCCCCTTGATGTGTCATTCTTAAAAACTGTGGTTTAAACAAAATCATGCCATATATATTTTTAAATTTTCAGGCTTTTTAAGATTTAAGTTTGCTTATACATTAACTTTTCTTTTCATAAAGGGTAGCAATAGTACATGAACCCAATCATAGGACTTTAACTTGGACCAGTTCCCCCAATTTTTAAGCCGTAGGTTTTTTGTTTGTTTGTTTGTTTTGCTTTGTTTTGGTTTTGGTTGTTGTTGTTTCAGAGTTGAATTGACACTATTATGTCATGGAATATTTGATTAACAGTATATGGGGGTTTGTAGTTACTAAACATCAAAGAATATCAGAAGATAGCCAGGTGACATTGTCATTCACATGGCATACAGTGGGAGACCTGTTAGGTCAGAACAACATTGGAAAATTTATGTAAAAATTAATTGGCTAATTAATATACCAATAAATGATTAAGTGCTATTATTAAGTGAACACAAGAGCATATGTTAGTGCTTCTGACAATAAGTCTTATTCTCAGAATATTGATAATTTTGATTCTCATTTTGGAGGCATATTTTCAAGGCTTAATATTCAGAAATTTACTGATTCTTTACATATGTTCATGTATTTTTGAGACTGAATTTTACTCTAGCTTTTTCCCATTTTCAACTTCCAAATTTTTCATTTTGAGCAAGAGAAAAATTTATTGAATTTTCTTTCTTTTTCAATTACATTACTGTACATAATTCTGTATTATTCTGAAGAGTCATTCATGGCATATTTTAAATGATCAGTCTTCCCAGTTATGTCTCTAACAAGTGAAGTATGCTTTCCATTTTACAATTACATTTTTTACACAGTGTCCCTTACTGCTAGCTCTTCATTTTAAACTTAAATTTACCAGAATTAATATACTAGTCACTGAGCAGCAATTATATTATTTTTTAAAATTTTAGTATTTCTCAGAAGTTAAATATTTAAAGTTTTCCATTTTGTTTATGTAGCAAATTACTGGATCTCAGTAATGTCTGGTACTTTTAACATTTATTTATTTTATTTAAATTTTAATTAGTTATTTAATTTATTTTAATGAAATTTAATTAATTTTAGTTAGCATACAGTGCAATGTCGGTTTCAGGAGTAGAATCCAGTGATTCCTCACTTACGTACAATACCAGTGTTCATCACAAGTGCCCTCCTTAGTACCCACCAGCGATCTAGCTTATCCCCCAGCCACCTCCCCTCCAGCAGCTCACACTTTGTTCTTTATCATTAAGAGTCTCTTGTGGTTTCTTTCCCTCTCTTCTCTTCCCCGTCCCCTCCCTCCAACCTTTCTATGTGTTAAATTCCACATATTAGTAAAATCCTAGGATATTTGTATTTTTCTGATTGACTTATTTCACTTATCACAATATATTCTGTCTCTATTCATGTTGTTGCAAATGGCAAGATTTCATTTTTTTTTTTTGGTGGCTGAGTAATAATTCATTGTGTGTGTGTGCGTGTGTGTGTATGTCTGTGTGTGTATACATATATGCATACCACATCTTTATCCATTCATCACTGGATGGACATTTGCGCTCTTTCCATAGTTTGGCTATTGTTGATACTAATGCTGGGTGCATGTACCTCTTTGAATCTGTATTTTTGTATCCTTTTGGTAGATGCCTAATAGTGCAATTGCTGGATCATAGGGTAGTTCTATTTTTAGTTTCTTGAGGAGCCTCCATGCTGTTCTCCAGAGTGGCTGTACCAGTTCACATTCCCACCAACAGTGCAAGAGGGTTCCCCTTTCTCCACATCCTCACCAACAACTCTTGTTTCTTATGTTGTTAATTTTAGCCTTTCTGACAAATGTGAGGTGGTATCTCATCATAGTTTTGATTTGTATTTCCCTGATGATGAGTGATGTTGAGCATCTTTTTATGTATCTGTTAGCCATCTGGATGTCATCTTTGGGAAGGTGTCGCCATCCAGTGTTTTCAACACCATTTGTTGAAGAGACTGTCTTTTTTCCATTGGATAGTCTTTCCTGCGTTGTCAAAAATTAGTTGACCATATATTTTAGGGTCCAATTCTGGGTTTTCTGTTTTGTTTCACTGATGAGTGTGTCTGTTTTTGTGTCAGTACCATACTGTCTTGATGACTACAACTTTGTAGTATATCTTGAAATTTGGAATCGTGATTCCTCCAGTTTTGTTTTTCTTTTTCAGGATTGCTTTGTCTATTTGGGGTCTTTTGTGGTTCTATGCAAATTTTAAGCTTGTTTGTTCTAGCTCTGTGGAAAATGCTGGTGGTATTTTGATAGGGATTGCATTAAATGTGTAGATTATTTTGGGTAGTATAGACATTTTAACAATATTTGTTCTGCCAGTCCATGAGCATGGAATGCTTTTCCATTTCTTCACGTCCTCTTCAATTTCTTTCATAAGTCTTCTATAGTTTTCAGAGTACAGCTCTTTTACATCTTTGGCTAAGTTTATTCCTAGGTATCCAATTGTTTTTGGTGCAGTTGGAAATGGGATCAATTCCTTGATTTCTGTCTCTGCTGCTTTGTTATAGGTGTATAGATGTGCAACAGATTTCTGCACATTGACTTCATATCCTCTGACTTTACTAATTCATGTATTAGTCCTAGGTACTTTTCTAAGCACTAAGAATGAAGTGGTGAAAAAAAAAAAAATCCAGGCAAAATCCTGACCTAATGGAATTTACACTGTGGTTGGGGACACAAACCACAGATAAAAAGGAAAATGGCATGCAGAAGTTTCCAGCAATACCACGTGTCTCCTGGTGTCTACTGGAACTCCTAGGCAAAAGACTGACAGGCTGCACTGTCTGCTGCTCTCTAGTCATCCAGGAGAGAATGGTTGGGTCAGGCTCAGCTGAGCACTATGGATTATCATTAGGAAAGGGCCCATCCAGCTCCTGGGGAACAAAAAAGCCCCAGAGGACCCCCAACTGAACATGTAACAATGGGGCCACTTGCAGTCATAAGAGTGGCTCCTGTTGGAGAAAAATATCTGGAAACTGGATACCAGCTGTGCTGATGCATTTGGAAACCTCCTGAGAAATCAAGATTGTATACAGCTTCTCATACTTGGAGGTTCTGGAGCCATCACTCTCAGCTAGCCCTTGCAGGCAATTTAGAGAGCTCTACTAGGCATCATTCAGTGGGCTAATCTATTTTGCTTTCTTCAGTCTGTCCCCTGACCCAGGAATTGAATTAAACATAAGCCTTTTAATTAGTGACATGAATAAATAGGCCTATCCGTACAAAAAATTAGAAGAAGGAGAGAGTTGCTCATCTGTTGACCTCCTTCACTCACTTTCTGAGGTTCGATGTGTTCATTTCTCAACAATTAGGGCCTGTCCTCTACCTCTGGGATGAACTAAATTTGTCTTTTTCCCTGAATAATAAACCTTCTAAAGACTTAGGAATCACTATTCTACCATTGCAAGAAACTTTCAAGGGTAGAAGAGGATGGCTGTAGAATCACCCATTACAAAGTCAGTGGATACATCTCTACCCACCCAAGCGGTCAGTAGTGGCATCAGCAGGTGGTTATAATGAACAAACCCAACCATCATCATGCTGGTGCATTTTTTCCAGAGCCAGAGAAACAATTGTCAGCATAGTCAAAGAAGTGTCTTGGGCTTCAATGGCCCAAGGAAGAGTCATCTCCAGGGGAACTGCTCGTTCCATTCTTCCATATTAATGACTACTGGGGTTTCTCTGCTACTTCCCCTCTTATTACATTCCAGAAAATCTCTTTAGTCCATTCTGGGTTTTTGTATCTGCCCATTAGTTATATTTAGTTGCTTATTTTGAGCCTCGTGTTTTATACAGTCAATGTTAATGTAAACAGATAACATAGTATAATAATAGGGTTCTAATGGACATACTGGCTGAGTCTGGAGAGGCTTTAGAGAGACTTTAGGGAGAAGGGAGCATTTAAGGTCAGGCTTGAAAGGCAGAGAAGCAGAGAAAAATTTTTGTCTGTAGTGTCATGAAAGAATAAAAGGGTGTGATATGTTTAGGCAATTGTGAGAAATTTTGTGTAGCTAGAAATGTAATATGAATAGTAAGAGATAGTTTGGGGGAGCAGTATTGGGTGCTTCAATCATATATAAGGCATTTCTTGATCTATTTTCTAGGAGGAGGAACAGAGGTCATCGGTGGTCTACTCATGTTCATAATTTAAAAATCTCTTGTAACTCCTATTCAATTATATATTTAATGACAGTAATAATATTTATATCTTTCATTTTCATATCTTCACATCTTTCTCCATTACCTAATTTCAAATCTCAGATATGAATGAAACAGATCTGAAATATTATAGTATTCTAATATTTAAAGATGAGGAAACTGAGGAATTGAGAGATTATACAGTTGAATGGCCTTATTTAGACAATACCAGATCTTCTGTTTTTAATTCTATATATTTATTGGATTTCGTGTGTGGGTGTACATCTGTAGTTTTTGGTTATTATTACCTTCAAATTATTGTGTTTTTTTTTTTTTCTCCATAGGATTTGGCTTTTACCCTGGAAGAGAGACAACAGTTGAATATTCATGGGTTGTTGCCACCTTGCTTCATCAGTCAGGATATCCAAGTTCTTAGAGTAATTAAAAATTTTGAGCGTCTGGCCTCTGACTTTGACAGGTAACATATCCTTGAAGATGATTTTTATATTTCTCTTAGGAGTTGTCTACTTTATTTTTTATTGGATGAGGAAGTTAAAATATTTAGTGATTTGGATGGAGTAGTCAAGTTTGAGAAGAATTTGCCTAGAAATACAATGATGTTTTAAAAAAATGTACCCTCAGTAGCAACATTTGAGTAATATAAAATTTTCTTTTCTAAACTGTGTCCTCAGAGAGACTACTTTTCTCTTGTGATCAAATGGTTGCTATTAAGGTGAATTATCAGGAAATGCTATTCTGAAATATATTTTTTATTTTGAGATAGAGATAGCGTATGAGCAGGGGAGGGGCAGAGAGAGGGGACAGATCTGAAGCAGGCTCTGAGCTGTCAGCACAGATCCCGATGGGGGGCTAGAACTCATGAACCATGAGATCATGACCTGAGCCGAAATCGGATGCTTGACTGAGCCACTCAGGCACCCCAGGAAATGCCATTCTAGACAGAGCAAAACAGGTCATAGTGGCTTTTAGTCAGACTCTAAGTTCATTGTAGATAAAAGCATACTTTTTCAACTTCCAAGCTTGGTTGTAACACTACTGCATATTTGGGTCACTTATTTTTAGAATTCAGTTTCTGTGTCTGCACAAAGGTGAAGATAATATTTTCCCTACTTTTGAAATTAGATAGCCCTTGATTGGAATTTTGGCTGTATTTCACTAGCAATGGGGCCTTAAGCAAATTGCTTTAGCCACTTCCATGACCACTATACATGCCTGGCCCTGTGCTTTTGACCCGGTCCTTTCTTATTAAGGTACTGAAATCCTCCAAACCTTAGGGTTTTCATTTGTGGGTTAAAAGAAGTAATAGTTATTTGAAAATATTGTTGCAAAGGTTAGAAGAGGTCGCAAACCAATACCTAGCAAGTATTTGTATTAGTCAGGGTTCTCCAGAGAGGAAGACCTAACATATACACACACATATACAACCTGCTGGTTCATTCGTTCGTTCTTTCTTTCTTTCTAATTAATTAATTAATTAATTAATTAATTTTAAGGAATTGGCTCACGTGATTATGGAGCCTAGGCAAGTCCTAAATCCTTAGGCTGACTGGTATGGCGGAAACCAGGGGGAGAGTTGCAGTTTGAATCCAAAGGCAGTCTGTTGGCAGGATTCCTTTCTGGTGGAGGGTTGAAGAGATTAATAATAATAATAATCATAATGAAGTAGCAGTCCAATTTCCCTTTGGTAGTTAGGATCAATCACCCCACCCCTATCCACCCCAAAAGAAAAGTAATTCTTTTCTTTGCTTGTTGATTCAGAGGCGTATGCCCAGAGTGGCTAGCATTGGTGTTAACTTCCAGTTCAATGGAATCACTGTCTCCTGGTAGAAACATTCCTCCCTTCGGAATTAAGACTTCTAGGCCGGTAGAGCATAAGTTCACAGGGATGGGAAGCAGAAATTTTGCTAGTGGGTCACTGGAATGGGGGGGCGGGGGTTAGTGAGTGGTGCCACTTTTATTTCCATCCTTTGGTTCCTTGAGCTGTGAATACTGGCTATAGGAGAAATAGCACCATATATTGGACACTGATTCAGAGCATAGCTAGCATTCTGGAGAACCTTGCCCCAGCTTTGCAAGGTGTTGCCACCTGCCTTGTACTATAACTGAGTCTTCAGAAGGCCATTCGACCATTCTGTCAAGCCAGCTGCTTCAGGATAGTGGGAAACATGGTAAGACTAGTGAATTCCTAGAACATGAGCCCGTTGCCACTCTTCATTAGCTCTCATTTGAAGGAAGTTCCTTGATTAAAAGAAATATTGTGTGGAATACCGTAATGGTGTTTAAAGCATTTGATAAATCCATGGATTGTAGTTTTGGCAGAGGTATTGTGTGCAGGGAAGGCAAATCTGTATCCATACTAAGTGCCTATTCCAGTAAAAAAAAAAAAAAAAAAAAAAAATACCACCACCCCTTCTGTGATGGAAACAGTCCAGTGCAATCAACTTGCTACCATGTAGCTTGCTAGTCATTCCTTGGAATGGTGCCATATCAGTTGTGCAGCATTGGTCTCTTCTGCTGGCAGATGTGGTACTCAGCAATGTCTGTAGCTAGGTTGGTCTTGGTGAGTGAAAGTCCATGTTGCTGAGCCCATGGATAACCTCCATCACTGCTGTGGCTACTTTTCATGAGCCCATGGGTGATGACAGGGACAGCTGAGGAAGGAAGCTGACCTGTTTGCCTGATGTGTATATTTGCTGTTTCTTGAACTCCTTTACAATCTCTTTCACTTGTTCTGCTAGCCTATCCTTCAAACTAGTCTTTCCTTCAGATGTTTTTACTTTATATTCTTTTCCTGGGCCATTTACCTCTGTAAGAGCTAGTCACATTCATGTTTTTACCACAGACTGTTTCTCAAGTATTTATTGAGCATCAGCTCACTGTCTGGTGCTGTTTTAGAGATTAGGATTATAGACCATGATCTCTGTCCTCATGGAACTTAGGTAAATTATTTTTAAAAATTATTAAATACTAAATAGTAAAATAATATGCTAAAAATTGACAGGTGCTAGTGGAAAAAATAGTAGGATAAGAAGTGCTGAGGATATTGGGGATAGTATGATTAGTTTGCTTTATTATATTGTTATATTGATCAGGATAGACTTCATTGAGAAGATGACTTATGAGCAAATAATCAAAGGCAGTGAGGCCATTAGCCCTGAGGAAATCTGGGAAACAGTGTTCTTCAGCTGGTAGGTTCCAGGATCAACAGGGAGACCTGTTTCTGGATCAGATTGAGCTTGTGGAAAATGGCAGGTTGGGAGAGGAACTTAGCAAGGTAATGGAGGACAATTTATGAATGGCTTTAAAGGCACTAAAGGACTTTGGTGTTATTCTGAGTGAGATGGGGAGCCATTCAAAGTTTTGAACAGAAGATCAACATGACCCAGTCTATCTTTCAGAAAGATTGTCTGCAACATTAAGAATACAATGTAGGCTGGAAGAATTTAGGAGACTATTACAATAATAATAATTACTAATACAAGAGATTAGACCCAGGAGGGTAGCAATGAAGTTGTTTAGATTTTGGGAATATATTAAGGATAAAGCCAACTTAATTTCCTAATATATTAGAGATTAGTGTTAGCTTTCAGAGAAGAGGAGGAAGCAGCAACAAAACAGGAAAGGAATAACCAATAAGACAGGAGGAAAACCAAGAAAAATATGATGGCCCAGAAGTCAAGTAAAACGAGTGTATTGAGCTCTAAGGAAAGGCTCCTGGTGTCAAATATTTTGAGAGGTAAAATAAAATGAGGTCTGAGAATTGATCATTGATTTAGCAGTGATGATTTCCACATTACTAAATCAGTTTTAAAAGCATGCCTTAAAGTCATCATCTTCCTAAATGTTATAGGGGTTGGTGTAACCCATCTATTTGCCAAACATTAGAATCCTTGTATCTCTGGCTTCAAATTCTGTGCATTTTCAACTCTTCCAGGGAATGAAAATCAACCTAAAAAGGCTGGTAAGATTATTAAGCACAATTTTGCAAGACTATTTTAAGTTGTTACTGATCAGTTTGGGTGTTATTCTATGAATTATTGAGGGTTACAGGTAACATGATAAGATTGATGGTTAGAAAGATAACTCTAGGTTAGAAATGGCTCTAGAAAGAAAAAGGCCATTTGATAAAATGATAAGAAAAGGCTCTGGAACTTGCCTGCCTTAGTAATTTTTAGATTCAGTGCTACATTCCATATTGTCTACCTGTTATTTCCCTTGGCTATTCAGTACTACAAGTTAAATGATGAAGTCTATTTACTTAGTTAATATTTAAATTTTATCTGTAGTGGCATTTTCATATTAAAGTAGAGATAAAATCTCTCCAGGTATTAAGTAAAACTGCTGTTGGAGCAGTGCTTTTAATGTTTGAATGACACGTGCTCAGGTTTATGGTTATTCATTCTTAAAGGTGTTTCAGAATATTTCTAAAGTCCTTTTTGATCAGATGTTTTCTTTGCAACGTAAAAAATACTTAATACTTTGTTGAAAAATGGTTAAAAATCTAAGCAGCTATTTCATGACTTGTTGGAATATAGATCTCATTGTGTCCAATTTCCACAGGTACCTTCTCTTAATGGATCTTCAAGATAGAAATGAAAAGCTCTTTTACAGAGTGCTAATGTCTGATATTGAGAAATTCATGCCTATTGTCTATACCCCCACTGTGGGTCTGGCTTGCCAACAATATAGTTTAGCATTTCGGAAGCCAAGGTATGTAAACTTTCATTTTAAATACACTTGTGTCTTTATTATTTTGTAAAGTTTTTATAATAATTAAGAAAAATTATTAAATGGAATTTAATTTTGGAAAAATTGAAATCAAATTTCATTTAAAAGAACTTCAGGTATAAGTTTATATAAACATTAAAAAATATAGTATTTTCTTTCTAGATTTAAGATCATGGGAAAGTATTGTAAGCCATTTTAGGTTTTCTTTTATAGACAATAAATGAACTTGTTTGTTTGCAAAGAAATTGATCATAATTAAGCTTGACTTTGAAATGTTAATTAACACTATTTTGTATACATTTTAGAAGTTAAAACAAAGATTTAAAATTTTTCTGAAAATGAATACAGTTTCTAAATTAAGAATTGGCATTAAAGTAGCTCTTTTAAAAATAATGAATAAAAAAATAAAGGAGCTCTTTTGTTGATTTTCCCTACGTGAAATAGTAGTCACCTTAAAGATGTGTAAAATATAGAATATAATTTTTCTAAATCCATAACTTTATTTTATTATATTACTTTAAATACTTTTGACAGGACACAGTTGAAATAAATATTAATACTTTTAACAGTAGCAAAATCAAAAGTTCGAGTTGAATGTATTTATGCTTATAGTAATTCTGAATTTAAAGATTAAAAAATGTTTGTAAGTTTATACCACAAGTAAAAAGGCTTATTAAGAGTACTGCCTTTGAAAGCAATGTTTCAAAAGTAATATCTGAAAGTTAGATTGAATATGTGGATTTCCCATAGATATATTGGTAATATTTAGCACACTTGTGCCATGTTATTCTTTGTATGAAGAAAAGAATTGACAAAATCATTCCTTGTATGAAGAAAATAATTAGATAAATATCTGTAGATGGTCTGTTAAATTACATTAATGGCACATATCTGTATTGCATTTATAAAACAGCTGTATTAACAGTAGATACATATTTTATTAATAGAGCAAGAGTTAGATTTTAGCTGGTAATTGTATTGTAAAGAATAATTTTAGGGGGATATAGAAGTATATTTATTTTTTAATCATACAAATAATACATATTCATTATGGAAAAAATGAGAAAATACAGATATGCAGAAGGGAGAAATGCTTAGGAAATCCCTAATGTCATCACACCAGAAAAATCTTAATTCACACAAATATATACTGTTTTCCTTATACAAAGGATCACACTATATAAGCTCTTCCTTACCTGTCTTCTCTGAGTGACATGAACATCTCTCCATGTCTATTAAGTGTATTTCTAAAAATAATCTTAGTAAAAGCATAAGCGTATAGCATTTGACTGTTTTAAAATATAACTTAAGCATATATTTGAAATTCTAACTTTTTGGGATATACTGAGAAATGCTAACTATAAAAGATGTAGAGGAGCGTAGCTCAGAGTATTTGGGTTGAAGTTGACATATGAAGTCTCAATAGCAACAATTACTTTTTGAGCATTTAGTATGCATTAGATGATTTTCTAAGGGCTGAGCATACATTGGTATACCTGTAAATCTAAGAGCAGAAAAGAAAGGGAAATAAAAAATAAGTGAATTGTCTAGGATGTTGGAAGGTAATAAATGTTGGAAAGAAAAACTAGAGCAGGAAAATGGCATTTGGAGAGTACATAGCTTAGTGGAGGGGCAATTGCAATTTTAAAGAAAGTGGACAGTGTAGGGCCTCATTGGAAAATGATCCATAGTATTCAAGGGGGCAGTCATGTACATATAAAAGGAAGCATGTGCCAGGCCCTAAGTGGGAACTTGCCCGGGAACTAGGAGCAGCATCGAGGCCAGTGTGCTGGTGGTGTGAGAGAGGGGAGAGCGGTAAGTGAAGTCATTTATGAAGATAAACGAGAGGACATAGAACCTGTATTTCTTGGAGGCTAAAGAACATTAGCTTTTACTATTAGTCAGATGGGTAGAAGAATCAGATGGCCTGGGTAGCAGGCTATTGTCATAAACCCAGTGAGAGAGGATGGTGTCCAGATTAGGCCAGCATTATAATTAGGGGTAATGGAATTATTCTGGATAAAGAAAGTCATAAGGATTTCCTTATCTTGGATTGGAGACTTCCTAGAACAATAATTAGAATTATGGGCCCTGGAGTAGATTGCCTATTTTTATGTACTTGGTTTTGCTACTTATTTTAGTCTTGAATACATTATTTATCCGTTGTATGCCTTAGTTTCCTCCTTTGTAACTTGGGGATTAAACTGCTACCCCACCATCCTTTATCTACATTTTAAAAATTTAAATTTGGGATAAAACCTGATCTGTCTGAACCCACTCAGTGACAAGTGGAATTAATTTATATAAAGATATTTATAGTATTTATCTGACTTAGTGTTTTCTGTTTTTCTTTAGAAGTATTAATATATTTGATTATAGGATGCTTTGCCAGAAATAAATAAATTGACAGATTTTGAGAAGGGGAAGAGGCAGAGATGGGGCAGTAGGCAGCTGAGCATTTGTAGTAAAATGCTCATAAATGTTGAATCTAGGTGGAGATATTCATTTTATTTTTCTTCCAACTTATCTATAGTATTTGAAATTTAAGTAAAGGAATGCTTTACTAACAGAGAAAGTTAAGTTCCTAAAACCATTTCTGTATGATCGCTTTATGGCAGTTTTCTTTTATGTTGATTTTTAATGTGTATATCTTCCTAAACTTTTGATAATTTTGAAGTTCTTTAATGGAATCATTCTCCTGGCTTCTAGGACTATAAAAAAAGGAGCCTGTTTGAAAATGTGTTATGAGGCATATATTTAGACACTGTATTTAATTGGACAGAAAACTGTGATTGTGTTTGAATAATAATGAATCTTTCGGGCCTCATTTAACATATAGATTATTTTTTAAAGCCAAAATTGACAAATGCCTATTTAATCTTTCTTACTGCAACAGCAAGTATTGTAGGACATTGAGAAAATGAACAAGAGGATTATACCTCTTGTTATATATACTTTGTATAATTGGGGGTAGCTATTAGAAACAATGAGTCAAAGTTAAGAGATAATAGTGTAAGTACTGAGCTTAATACAATTGCAAACAGGTATATCTTTTGATCTCATATTTTCTAATATATCTTAATGATATTGATGCAAGCTGGCTGAGTCTGAGGACCCAGAGGGAGGTCCCACAGGACCAGTCAAGAGGGCTTCCTGCAGGATAGAAATCAAACTATCCAAGAGGAAGTAAGAGCAGAGTTTATTAAAGGTATAGAGAGAGTGTAGATACAGATGGAGTGTCTGGGAAACAGACTTCCTTACCTGAGAAAGGAAGGAAGAGTGAACCTGATCTTTGCTTGGGGCCTGGGGTTTTTATTGAGGATGGTGGTCTGGTGCCCAGATCATCTCAGTAATCCTGAAATGAACAGTATGTAGGTGTTCTCCGTAAGTCACTTGCCCTGCAACCAGCGGTCTTGAGTCTTTCATGATGACCCTGCTCAGTCATTCCTTCAGTGTTACATATTGTGCTCAAAGACTCCAAAGAAATCATTAAATCCTTGACCTTTACAAGGAAGACATACATTGTGTGTTCTATAAGTGTGTAGGGGTTATGCTGTAGGTTCTAGCGAGAGTAGAAGAAGAAAAAAAGAGAAAAAAGAGTGAATAAAGCAGTTTTTCACGGGGCCCTTTTAGTTTCCCTGTCTCAATATGATACTTCTCTGTGACTAGATATTTATTTTTCATTTTGATTATGGCATTAAAATCTGGCTAGGTATCCAAAAATAAATTCTAATGTGAATAACTCTGCCAACATATTTTTTCCTAAGGTATGATGCTGGAGTATCCATTTATTGGTCTTGTGTGGAATTTCTTTTTTCTTTGGCATAGATACTTTGTGTGGGTTTTTCAAGATGTTATGGATAATGAGTTTTTAAAATGTCAAGTTTGGATTATCTTGTTCCCATGTATCCATAACATTTGAATTCTTGCAGAACTTTCAGTATTTGGTATTGCAATATGCTTATGTCAGCACATCCAGTTGTGGCTAATTTGTAGATAGAGGTGTGATTTTTGGAGCTAGAGATGATTCTTTTTGTATTTTTGCAGAATGCTGAGCCTCCCATGTTACTTGAATTACTTGTATTCTGTAAAACTTTTTTTTAAGAAAAATTTCGTGCAAATTGATAATGCAGGTATACGTAAAGAATAGCTAAAGCAGATTTCTTTGGAAATATTTTTACCTGTTATATTTTATACTGCATTTTCCAAGAATCCTCTCTCTTTCTTATGAGCTCTTATTAGCTACATATCATTTTACCATGCCTTTGGCAATTAATCATGTTCCTTCTTTTGATATTTCTACTGTTCTATCAGAGTATTCTTGGTCTGTTTTTATTTTACTTTTTATTTTTTATTGACATAACATTAGTTTCAGGTGTACAACATAATGATTTGATATTTGTGTATTGTGAAATGATTACCACAATAGGTCGAGTTAACATCCATCACTATACATGGCTATAAAACTGTTTTTCTTGTGATGAGAATTTTTAAGATCTACTCTCAGCAACTTTCAAATGTGCATTTTTGTTATATACAGTATTATTAACTGTAGTCACCATGCTGTACATTACATCTCCATGACTTCTTTATTTTATAACTGGAGATTTGTACCTTTTGAACCTTTTCACCCACTTCAACTACTTCCCGCCCTCCATGTTTGGCAATCACAGTCTGCTCTATCTATGAGCTCAATTTTTTCCCCCTCTTCTTGGTCTTCCTTGTTGGTATTTTATTATTTATTTATTCCCAACTAGATTGTAAGCATCTAGAGAGAAGGGGTCATATTCTGTAAATTATTCCCTCTGTTTCCCATGCTTTTAAGCTTAGTTCCTGGTTAGTGCTGAATATGTTCTTTGGTACCTCCTAGAAATAGCAACTTAGTATCACTTGATTCATTCATTCTGATAAAAAAGCATAAAATACTGGTATGTTCTGTATTTCTCCTACTATTTAAACATATTATTCTAACAGGTAAATTT